CAATCCAAATGAGTTGCAATATTGTAAGATGAAAAGCGTTATCTAATATTTCAAGGTGTGTTTGGGTAATTATTGATGTGAAGAATTTCTTTTATTGTTTCTTTAGAACTGTATTTCATCATTTTTTTGGGGTAATATGTGGGCTTAGCCCAATTTCATTAAGTAAAAAGAACAAATTACATGTGTAAAAAGAAAAAAAGAGCAAAATTGTGAGAGAGCTACACAAGCAGCAAGAGAGAGATCACCAGAATGGTGCAAAAACACATGTAAAGCCAAAAAACAGAGGAAGGGCAAAAAATTAACGGCCCAGCTTTAGTAGATTGCCTCCGATAGACCGAAAAAGAAATCCACCGGTTGCAAGAGTTGCCATCAAAGAAAATTGTTGCAAAAGTCGCCGTCCAGGGGTGAAGGATGGCAATCCACCCATCATAGCCCCCCTACAACTTCAGAAACATAAATCCAGCAAGCATCGAAAAAAAGAGAAGAAGATCTGGCGATAATAAACCAAGCCAGAGAAAGAGAACTACAGAAGCTGACGGTAGACATCTCCATCCACTTTTGTATCTTAATAGCAATAGCCTTTTTGACATGGATTTTCTAAGTTACCAGGCTCTTGTGATAATTAGAAAATTTTCTATCATTCCTCTCTCTCCGTATAGAGTAAACATTAGCCCAAATGAAACATAACCTTTCCGAATTGAAAGAGCCATCAGCTTTCAAAAATTCCAAAATATGGTGTAAATTAGGCCGCATAAGAAAGGTGTTAAGAGAAGGCAGCATTTCAGAGATAAGACAATGAGAAAAACCACATTCAAAAAAGAGATGAGAGAGAGATTTAGAAGTATCCAAGCAGAAACAGCATTTTGGGTCAACCATACTATTTCTTCTAATAAGATTGTCCGCCGTCTTTAATCCCCCAACCAGAGAGAGCCACCCAAATATAGAATATCTCAAAGCATAATGTTTGTGCCAAACAAATTCACGCCATGTCACCTCATTATCAGATTTATAAAAATCCTTAACAAAGGAAGCAAAGCAATGCTTACCTTCAACCCATACCAGAGACGGAGCAGAACCATCCCTAAGAATAGGGATGGATCTTATAGCATTAGAAATATCTTCATGACAGCCATTAGGAATAACCCACCCAGCTTCATTAAACAGTAAATTTAGAGGAGCATTATCAGGAAAGTGCTTGAGTAGGGATTGATGGTAATCAAAATCACATATATTACGGCCACCACGCCAATGATCCCATTTAAGAGAAAACATAGAGTTAACAGTAACTCTAAAATTCATATTTGGTTTAGCAAAGTTTGCAGAACTGCAAATGCTTTTCCACATGGAGGAGTAAATGGGTGGATTTTTCCAAGGAGATCCGTATTTAATATAAAACCAATGCGACAGTAAGGCATCACCATTATAAATCCTCAAAATTAGTGAACAATCAAAATCATAACGGAGAGCTTGAAACGATGGCAGTCCTAGACCAACAATATCTTTACGTTTACAGGTGTTGGCCCACCACACCATATAAAGTTTTTTTGCAGTGATGTCACTAAAATAGAGGAACCTAGCAGATAATTTAGCAATTTGCTTACAATGTGGTGGAATTCTTACTGTTTGGGATTTCTAAAAAAGGAAAAAAAAAATACTAAGGCTTCATTTGAAACATCTTTTTGCTGTTTTCTAAAAGGGCTATATAGGACAAATTTTTAATTTACAAATATTTTATACTAAAAAAAAACTGTTTTAAAAAGCTGCAAAAAAAGGGTCTCAAACAAAGCCTAAAACTTCACTTTGAACAGCTTTCTTATTTTTTTAAAAGACTTTCTATTATAAAAATTTTAATTTTAAGAAATAAATCAGACTTTGAACGAAAGTTAAATCAAGGAAGATCCACTGATAGCTGGCAAACAGTAGCTAGTTATAAACATAGGCGCGGATCAAATTTACAAACGACCCCCCAAATAGCCATGCTTCTTCCACAACAAGAATACTAATAATTAAAAAAAAGAAGCTAATTAAGAAAA